GGGAGAAGATTGATGAGATGGCAGACAGAGAGAGAAAGCCTTCTCCTGGAGCTGATGCCCTGAATTTGGACTTTTAGCCTACTTTACTGTGAAGAAATAAATTTCTCTTTGTTAAAGCCATCCACTTGTGGTATCTCTGTTACAGCAGCACTAGATGACCAAGACAGAGACCAAAGTTTATTAGTGGCTACAAACAGGTAGGGGAAGGGGGGGAGGGGGAGTCATTGTTTGGGAAGCAGTGAGTTTCTGTTTATGGTGATGGGAAATTTAGCAACAATTATGGGTGATGTTGCATAACATGATTAATGTAATTGATGTCACTTAAATTATATACCTGAAAAGTGCTGAATTGGCAAATGCTATGTTATATATACTTTTACAACAACAACTACTAGACACAGGCACACACACACAATTTAACTTTATAGTACCTGTTCCAATGTTGCTTGAGAAAAGCTGTATTCCTCAATGGCAAAAGTATGTTTAGCTATTAAAGTATGAAAACAATATTTTATTTATTAGTATTTTTAAAGAATAAAATGATAATGACTACTAAGGTGGCTAACAATCTTTGCTTAAAAAAAGGTCTTTTGTAATCAGCTCATTTAAATTTGAAGCTGTCAAAAGGTTCTTTTCCTCTACCATGCTTCCTTCCTCTTTCCTATCCCCACAATTTTTGTACAGGCCTAAGCACTATGTTTAACGTTACTTGTCTTATTTCACCTTTTACAGGCATCTCTTTTTCCTCCTTTATCTTCTTCCTTGTTATTCCTTTCTTTTATGTTTTCTTCTGATCCTTGCTGTCTATCTCCCGTTCCCCAACTCCAATATATCCTATTCTTGACTTCTTGAACTAGATTCCAGTTATTGACAATATTTCCATAGACTTGTCTATCTTTACTATATCTTTATCCTATCTACAACTTCTTTAAAAAATGCCATGATTCATTAAGTTTCTCTAAAACTCTCCCTAGTCTCCTGCACTATGAATTCTCCTCTCCTCTGCCACTAGTCTTGATACCACTGCTACTTCTGTGGTGCAGTAAGAAGTAAGGATTCAAGAAACATAGTGCTCCCACGGCTGGACTGAATTGGTGAAAGATGATTAAGCTGAACTTTCTCATAGATGCAATCTGATAAATTGTGGTGAGGTCCACTAGAGACTGTAAAAGGTTGATGTGACAATGTAATTGATCTATAAAATCCTCATAGTATTAGTATTTATCTTTATCTTAGATTAAATGAATAAAAGCCTATCTTCTCATTTATTATAGTTTCTAAAAAATTTAAGTTCCAAGTTCTAAATTTTATAAATTAAATTCTTTCATAATTTGAGAGCTATCCTTACACTTTTTTTCAAATACCACTTACCTTCTTCCAGCTTAGAAAAAGACTGTGAAAGAGACTGAACATCTTCCTTGGGAATTTTATAAGCCAAAATAGAAGAAAAGCTGAAAACAAAAGTAAGATAAAATGTAGGAAAATTCAAAAATAATTACTACTGTGTTCTAATGCTAAAGGTCAAAATTAAACTTCAATAATGTAGTTTGGTATTTATTTGGATAAACATTGTTTGAAATTATAAAATATTTTTCATGTACAATAAAATAACTCTATCATTCCTACTAAATAAGAACTTTAAAAAGTTTAAATACTATTGAATATTAAAAGATCTAACACTAAGTTAGATTAAAAAAAAAACTCCAGTAATCAGGCTATGTTAGCTTAGTATTTGTGATAATATACAGGTATTTTCATGTAAGAGAGAAATATATATCTATATATATGAACACATTCTTTTCACTCAGAGTCTAATATATACACATATATATTATATATACATATATATGTACGAAGGCTGGACAATGAATAAGGAAGGCTGAAAAACAATTGATGTCTTTGAATTATGGTGTTGCCAAAGAATATTGAATATACTATGGACTGCCAGAAGAATGAACAAATCTGTCTTGGAAGAAGTACAGCCAGAATGACCTTCAGAAATGAGGATGGCGAGACTTCATCTCACATACTTTGGACATGTTATCAGGAGGGACCAGTCCCTGGAGAAGGACATCATGCTTGGTAAAGTAGAGGGTCAGCGAAAAAGAGGAAGACCCTCAATGAGACGGACTGACACAGTGGCTGCAACAATGGACTCAAGCATAACAATGATGGTGAGGATGGCACAGGACCGGGCAATGTTGCATTCTATTGTACATAGGGTTGCTATGAGTTGGAACTGACTCAATGGCACCTACCACAAAAACATATATGCGTGTGTGTGTATATATATGCGTGTGTGTGTGTTTGTATATATATGTATATGTATGTATGTATGAGAGAGAGACAGCATGTGAGTGAAGAGGGTTTTTTTCCTAATCCTTAATAACCAATTTTTATGATTACTGCTGTACAAAGAAATATATTTAATCTTTACCTTTCCTGACGGCTTGCATTTGGGAAAATACACTGAATTTCTCTTTGAAGGCGTTCTACCTCTAGGTGTTCTATCCAGTCCTTCAATTTAATTTCCAAAAAGTAGCCTTTTCCAAATTTACTCTTTAGATGTTGTACTGTCCCGATACATCTATAGTAATTTTTAAAAGAAAGCTCAGATATAAAATGACAGCTTCAAAGAATGGTTTCTCACTTAAATCTCTCCCATTTCTTAATTTTTTATTCTACAATGATTTTAGATTTACAGAAAGGTTGCAAAGATAATAGAGTTCCCAAATATCCCTCACTCAGTTTCAGTTTCCCTAATCTTACAGTATCGTGGAACACTTATTAAAATTAAGAAACCAACACTGGTACATTACTATTAACTCCAGACTTTATTTGGATTCCACTTGTTTTTCTACCAATGTCCTTTTTCTGTTCCAGGATTTATCCAGGATATCACATTGCACTTAGCAGTTCTGTTTCCTTAGTCTTCCTCTGTGACAGTGTCTCACTCTTTCCTTGTTTTTCACAACTTTATCAGTTTTTAGGAATACTGAATCAGGTGTTTTGTAAAATGTCCCTCACTTTGGGTTAGTATGATGTTCTCCTCATAATTAGACAGGTGTTAAGGGTTTTCAGAGAGAATACCACAGGGCTGAAGAGTCCTTCTGATCACATCATATCAGGGGATACATGATGTTCACACAATGGGTTTCTCTATGGTAAAGTTACTATTTTATGTACTCTATTCTTTAGAAGTAACTCGCTAAATCCAGTCCATACTTGGGGCTAAAGGATTAAGCTCCCCCTCCTGTAGTGGCAGTATCTATATATACTATTTGGAATCCTTTTGTAAGGAAGATCTGCCTCTTCTCCCCCATTTATTTATTCAATTGTTTACTTACATGAATAGGAACTCATGTATATTTATCTTATATTCTGAATTATAATTCAGTACTATGTCTAACATTAATATTTAAAATTACAAATATCACACCTGAAAATAACATTCCAAATTGTTGAATAATTAAGCCAATTCTAAATACAAAGTAGCCAGCCATATTTTGGAAACTACTAACATATTTCCAAGTAATTCTACAGAAAAGCTAAAGATTGATTCTAAAACTCAAACAAGGAAACTTTTCTTTTAACATTTAAATCAGTACATATTACTACTATTAAGTTTCTGAAATGATGGCGTTCAAAAGCCAACCAAGCACCTTTCCATAAATGGCATGCTATTTAGACGGCTACCTTAACTGCCCAGATACCATAATAGCGACTCGGTCACAGACAGCCTCTGCCTCCTCCATATAGTGAGTGGTTAGAATAGCAGCTCGCTTTTTGTTTTTAAATGCAGTTCGAATTGCTTGCCTATAAAAAAGTACAACAAAAAGAAGAGAGAAGAACACTTATATGTTAATAATGTTTGGGTTTTTAAAAAAACAACTACTTGGTTAATTTGGTTAATTAAAATTTATCAAATATCAATTACTGTGACTATTTTATCCTGCCCAACTATGATTTTATATTCTAATTTACTTTCCCTTATTTTTGAAAGCTTATCAAAGGGAAAGAAATTCCATGATTTTAAATGTCTCTATGGGCTATAAGGGGCACTGGTGGCGCAGTGGTTAAGAGCTCAGCTGCTAACCAAAAGGTCAGGGGTTCGAATCTACCGCTCCTTGCAAACCCTATGGGGCAGTTCTACTCTGTCCTATAGGGTTGCTATGAGTTGGAATCAACTTGACGGCAACAGGTTTGGCTTTTTTGATTTATGGGTTAAAAGCAAGCTAACCAATAAATTATAAGAATTGATGCCTTTTCATGTTACAAAAAAAAAAAAAATAGCTATATAATCACAGAACTGAAGGAAGTCTTAGCCTACATCAAAACCAAGCCTTACACTGAGGCCCAAAGATTTAGGCAACTAATTAGCACTTACATAAATTTAAGAAAATACTGTTATGAAAAAGATAATTTATTATAAATAACTAGGAAAAAATCCTTTTAAAAAACTATTCAGGCAATAGCACTCTTTATTTAATAATGACCCACATGCTCAGTTTTGCTCTAGAATATATAGAATATTATTAACATTTCATATAAAATATGATAAAGTTTTAAAAGTTTAAAGGAATCTTCACTATTTTATCATTTGTGTAGAATTTTACTTCCATATGTATATACAGCTAACGAAACCATTCTTGTATTCTGCAGTCTGATGTAACGTAATGTATCTCAAGCTTCTTTAGTGCCATACTCACCACATGTGCTGTTTGGCTTTAGGATCCATACCTGTAGATGGTTCATCTAGCAGAGTAATCTGAGGATTTCCCAGCATACTTAGAGCAAAACACAACTAGACAGAAAGAAAATGGGGGGGGGTGGAGAGACACAAATAAGGCTTCACTATAAGGAAGTCTACCAAGATACTATCAGGCAATAAACTATCAAAAAATATACATATGTTCATTATTTAATGAACACACCTTTTGCTTGATTCCTGCAGGAATTTTCTTTATAGTTTTCTGAAGATGTTCTTTTAAATCAAGCGCATTTGCAATTCTGCAAAATGGACAATACAAAATGAGTATACCATGAAATATCCATATAAACAGCTTGTGATCATTGATGTTGTTTTTTCTAGAACAGTTACTCAGTTGAAGCTTACTATAATTAGCTAAACTCCAATTTACATCATTTAAAAAAAAATTAGTATCTTAACAATAAATGCTTCATTTTAAATTAAAATAACTTTTGTGACATCTGTAAGTACATTCACTCTGTAATCAGAAATAGAAAAAAATTGCCTTTTATTTCATAGCTATCATAATTTTGTAAAGAATATATGAAAATGCAATGTTCATATTCTGTGAAAATTATAATCCATGGAAATACCTGTTGGGCAATTTTTTAAAATGGCAAACGTAAACCTTTCCCTCAAGTAACAAAAGGGTTCTAAAGACAATTATTTTACCTCTTTATGACTTCTTTCATGTCACTTTCACTCATTCCTTTCACAGCTCCATAAATCTGAAAATGTTCCTGCAATGTAATATCTGGCCATAGTGGGTTCATCTGAGGACAGTATCCCACACACTTAGTGGAGTCATCATCTTCAGCCAGGTCCGAAGAATAACCTCCTAGAAATATCTACAGAAATATAAAGCTACTCTTAATCACTATTTTTGCTTAATTTACTTTTGCGAAGGAAGTGATGAGATTAATTTAATTCTCTTCTTAAAATCAGGGTATTATCAGGTCAGATTTAGTCTTTTTTAATGAAACAAGTACCTAGTTAAAAAGCAGAGTTCAGTGATATGGCCAGAAAAGGTGATTAGGAATACAGGGTTGAGTGGGGAAGGAAAGCCACCATTTTAAACAGAAGGATCAGGGCCTCACTGGAAGGGGATACTTGAGCTAAGGAGGCAAGTGAATTTAGTCATTTGGTTTTCTAGGGGTAAGGTATAGCCAAGAAAGGAAACAGCTAGGGCAAAAACCCAAAGGAGTATGCCTGGCATTCTCCAGGAAAGCAATGAGCCAGTATGGATGGTGTCAGTAGCAAGGGGAAGAGAAGCAGAAGACAAGAACAGAGTAGTTTCTACAAGTTGGTGAGTGGCATGCTTATAATAAGACTAATCAATGGAATTATCAAGAGTAGCTCACATATCTCCTGAAGTTAATACAATTGTCTTTTACTAACTTGGTTGACAAATCACTCATTCAAAAACCAACCCAAATCCATTGCAATTGAGTCGATTCTGACTCATAGCAACCCTACAGGATGGAGCAGAACTGCCTCACAGGGTTTCCAAGACTGTAAATCTTTACAGAAGCAGACTGCCACATCTTACTCCCACTGAGTGGCTGGCGGGTTCAAACAGCCAATTTTTCGGTTAGCAGTCGGGCACTTAACCACTGCACAATCAAGGTTCCTATATCACTCATACATGTAATAATAATAATTACAAAAGCATAAATACTGGATGTGTATATGTCTGTATTTAGGTATGTAAGTATAAAAATCTAACTGTGTACATTATTTTCACAGATAACAAGAAAGATCACAACTTGAACAAGTTATATTAAAAACTTGATACTCGATATAAAATACTCGAGATATAAAAATTGAGCATCAAAATCCTAACTAATCGTTAGGAAATTTATTTTAATAAAAAATGTAAATCATATTCAATATATCTCACATCCTTGTATATCATACCTGGCCTGATGTTGGTTCAATATCACCAACCAGAATATTAATAATTGTGCTTTTGCCTGCCCCATTTGGGCCCAACAGTCCCAGGACCTCACCTAAAAGAAAAGAAAAAAAATTATCCTACACAAATCAAACTAAAAGTGGGAATTACTTTTCTGGGAAAGTTATTTAAGAAAAATTAGTTAAATACCAGCCTTTTTTCACACAGAAAGAAACATATTTAGTTGCCACTTTCTTTACTTTTCTTGTAAGAAAATCTTTCTTGTCATCATATTCCTTATGCAAATTGCTGACCATAATAGCTGGTTTCTAGTAAGGGAAATAGGATTTAAAAAGAGTTATAAATCACATACTTTTCAGGAAATGACAGGCAGTACATACCTCATGTCCATATCATAAGAATTATATTTACTGTAAGAGGTATTGTACAAATAAATACCTATGGTTGAAATTATGGCTATTCAAAACTAAGTAGACAAAAATATTTTTTTAAAGAAAATATTTGCTTTTCAGATAAATTCACAAGCAGAGAAAAATATTTTTTTTTCAGATTAATGCCTATACCTTGGGAACTAATCATTCTACATTTAATATGACATAGCCATAAAGGCTAAATTACCTCTTCACAGCACTGGCAATTCATTAGCTCTTTGACTTTTAATCTTTCAGCTTTGACATCTTCATCTTCATCTTCATTGTTTGGTGATTCTGGAAACTTCCTATTTTTAGACTTTGTTGAAAAGGTCCTAAATATATAAAGATAGCAGATTTTCAAATAATTAAAATACTGAGAAAACACTGAAAAAAATACCAACATTAGATCTGTGGTCACCTCTGAAAGGAAGTTTACAAGTAATAGTTTTACTTCACGGATAACTTTTTATCGATAAATACTTGTTTAATAAATAGGTTAATTTATTATCTAAATTCATTCATTTATTCAACAATATTATTTATGAACAATATTCATCAGGCACTATGCCACACAGAGATAGAAAGCTGGATGAAAAAACCTGGACCTTACCCTCAAAGAATTCACAGCCTGGGTGTAAATGAAATTGATCAAGAAGAGCAAAGGCAGAAGTGAAGTCAGAGCTCAAAGGAATACTATTCTTAAGGGTAGGCAGAGGAAGAAACGCTTGCAAAGAAGATTCTGAAGTAATAGAGAAGGAAGCAAATAGGAGGTGACATTATGGAAAACGAAGGAACAAGAGGAAAGTATAAGGAGGAAGAAGTCAACCACATTAAAGGCTGCAGATTAGTTCAATAAGTTGACATGGCCAAAAGGAAGTCATTAGTTATCTTACTAAAAATAGCATCGGTGAACAGGTAATGGCAAAAACCAGATTGCAGGGAGTTAAGGAGTGAGTGGGAGGTCAAGAAATGGTGACAGAAAAAGGCTATGAAAGGAAGAAGAGATGTGGGATAAGAGTAAGAGAGGGATTCATGTTCAAGTGAGACTTATGGGTTCTGATCTTTACCATTTTGTTTTTATATGGGAGGAAGATGCCCCTCTAAAAAAATTCCTACTAAGATCCAGAAGAGGAGGCTATACAAGAGAAAAGAAAATTGATCAAGCAACATCCTAAAGTAGAGGGGATGAATAAAGACTTGGATAACTGGAGGGACAACTGTTACTCTGGGAGTGGGAAAAGACAAATGATGGAAGATGTGGAGAAATTTGTAATTCATAATTAGATGCTTTTGTTTTCTGAGATAGGTGGCAAGATCATCCACTGAGAAGTAGGGAATGAGGTGAAGAGGGGTGAATCTGGGAATCTGAAGAATACAAAGAAGGTTTGGGACAACTACTGAAAGAGTTAGGAAGGTGCTGACTAATAAAATGTGGTAGGGTTAGCAAACAGTGCTAAAGTTAAGTTTATACATATGTAGTGTATCTATCTGTACTTACATGTGATTTTTCTCCAGCATATGGTTAAGTTCACCCATAATTTTTGTTTTTAGCAGACTAGTCAAAGAGATACAGAAGTTGAGAATGCTGAAAGAGGGTTAAAGTGTGAACCATATGGACAAGGCTGGATAGAGAAGAAAGTAACAACAGTGAATAGCCAATATACTTGGGAGAACACGGAAAATTCAAGGGCATGAAACCATAATGAGATTAGGGGAGAAAAAAAAAAGTCTGAAAGGACTAATAAAATGAGAGAGCTGGAAAGATTTAAAACAAACAAACAAAAAATTACTAGTAGAACCGGACACTGATATTTAAGCTTTTACAGATGAAGTGAAGAGCAATGATGTCATGGCTCTGGTGTAAATAAATGGCAGAATAGGGGTAGAGGCAAAAGTTACCAGTTTGCAGGAAACCAGAAACTGAGGGGTTAGGTAGTAGAAAGGTTATGTGGATGCTGAAGTCTATCGCAAGATGACAGCAGATTAAGGTGAAAAGGAAGAAGGAAAGCCAGATACTGAAGTCCTCAGTGGATGTAGGGAGTATCCAGTGGTTAATAACCTTTAGACATTTCAATACCAATTACCATTGAGTTGATTCTAACCCATGGTGACCCCATGTGTACCACAGGAGGACTAAGCTCCACAGTATTTTCAATGATTTTTTTTGGTACCAGATCACTAGGACTTTCTTCCTAGGAAACTCTGGGTGGACTCGAACCTCCAACTTTTTGGTTAGCAACTAAGTGTATTAGCTGTTTGCACCTCCACGGACTTCATAAAGTTCTACACTTTACAGTTTTCTATTTGTTGTTGTTGTTAGCTGCTGTTGAGCCCCCAACTCATGGCAACCCCATGCACAACAAAACTAAACACTGCCTAGCCCTGCACCATCCTCATGATGGGCTGCAGATTGGACTGCTATGATCCATAGGGTTTTCACTGGCTGATTTTCAGAAATAGTCCACCTTAGTCTGTTCAGCATCACAGCAACACACAACTCACTACTGACAGACAGGTGGTGGCTGTGCATGAAGTACACTGGTCTGCAGTCGAACGCAGGTCTCCTATACGGAAGATGAGAATTCTACTACTGAATCACCAATGCCAATCATCCAGTATTCTATAGTATGTTAATATTCAACAAATACATAAATAAGCAAATATGCAAGAAATATAAAAAAGAAATTCAGAACCAATTTAGCACCAATAGCTATATTTCACTAAATAGCTCTTAATTAAATGTAAATTGCTGTGATGCTGAAAAGAAACTGCACAAACCAAGAGAAAATATCTGCAAATCAGATTATCTAATGAGGGACTTGTATTCAGAATACGTAAAGAACTATTAGAATTCAATAATATAAAGACAAATAGGCCAATTTTTAAAAATGGGCAAATGGTTTGAATAGACATTTCTCAAAGAAGATACATGAATGGCTAATGAGCATGTAAAACGATGCTCAACATCATTAGTCATTAGGGAATTTCAAAACAAAACTACAATTAGAAACTACATCATACCACTAGAATGACTAAAAAGACAACGACAAGCATTGGCAAGTATGTGGAAAAAGTAGAACCCTCATACATTGCTAGTGGGAATGTAAAATGGTGTAGTCACATTGGAAAACAGTCTGGCATTTCCTTAAAAGGCTGAACACAGAATTACCATACAACCTAACAATTCCAATCCTAGGTATTCACTCAACAGAAGTAAAAACATATGTCCACGCAAATACCCGTACACAAATGTTCATAGCAACATTATTTCTAACAGCCGAAAAGTAGAAACAATCCAAATGCCCATTAACTGATGAATGGATAAACAAAACGTAGTATATCCATACAACATACTATGATTTGGCAATATCAAAGGAATGAAATACTGCTCCATGCTACAACATGGATGAACCTTTAAAACATTATGCTAGGTGAAAGAAGCTAGACCCAAATAGACTACATATTATATGACATCACTTATATGAAATCTCCAGAATAGGCAAATCTATAGAGACAGAAAGTAGATCAATGGTTCCTAGGGCTGGGGAGCAAGGTAGGGGAGATGGGGAACTGACTGCTAATGGACACGAGGTTTCTGTTTGGGTTGACAGAAATATTCTAAATTAGGTTATAGTGGTGGTTGCACAATTCTGTAAATATACTAAAAAACAGTGAAACTTAAAAAAAAAATTAAACTGACCTGAAGAAGGGATCCTTTCTTATTGATCTGCCTCCATATTTTTTCTCATAGTATTGTAAGAGGAAAATCCACAGTACACACTGCAAGTAAGGCTAAAACAAGAACGTGTAACAGCTCATGACTGAATTGATTTTTTTCCTATGCCAATAGAACCAAGACCACAAACATCTGTTTCCTTGCCATCACCAAAAAAATTAATCACAATTTTTTAATACAAACTAAGGTATAATTATTTTTAATAAAACAATCCTTCACATATTTTTCTACCTCTGAAAATGCATTTGTCGTCAGTTCCATAAAATATAATAAAAAAATAAAAAGCTGTGATTTTGCTTCTAAGAAGCCAGAATTGCAACTAAAAGGAATTAATAACATGTGAAAAAGCCAAGTGTCTTAATGTGAACATATTCAGTAAATGAAAGGTATTACCACTGAAATGCAAATTAGATAGCATTAACTAACACACTGGACTTTTTATGCGCCTTAGTTTTTATGTAACAGAATAAAAACTAAAAACATAGTTAAAACCATATAACCAAATTATTCCTAAGGCAACATTCTAACACAAAAAAACACCTTTCTTTTATTTCTTACCGCTACAACAGCCACCAAAAGCCTATCCCATGGATCATAGGTGTCCTCATTTTTCTGTTTACTCTTCCAAGAAATCTAAGACAAAAATTTTTGAAAATTTTATGCTGCAATATGTAGAAAGAATTGGATTAAAATGGAAAAAAATACATTTTCTTCAACAAACATGTATTCCTTATAAAAAAACATATTAGCTATCAAGATGAACAGCTATGTTTTGTACTAAGATTAAAATCTTCCCATCCAAAAATATATCAGGGTAGGTATAAACTAAACATGTTAAACTGAAGCAAAAAGATAAAGGGCAGAAGGTTAGTAAGTAGAATTAATCAGCAATCCTCCTAACTCAAGAATTCATCTTTTTTTTTTTCCTAATTACATGGAAAATTTTTTCAATTATCCAAGCTGAATAAAACAAATCTGTTTTTCATTTTTTCTTGGAAACAATCTCTCACACTTTATTTTCTCTTATCTCTGCATTATTTAATCCTGGAAAAATTCCACCAAAATAAATACTGACTGAAGCAGCTCATAATTCTAAGTATATATATAATTTTGGACATGAAAGAACATGTGATAGACATAGTCCTTCTCCTTTGAGAATTTACAGTTTAAAGACATGCCTGAAAAGATCTAAGTAATTTTGAACTGCTGCAATACCTCAATCAAGCAGTAGCACCTAATCTGATGATTTTTACTGTTTTCAGTAAAAAAAACAAGAAGAATCTCAACGATTAGGCAGTATTTATTTATGCTTTTAAAATATTAAAATACCTAACAGACCTACCTTTATAAAACAAATCAGGCAACCTAGAAGTGGATAGATTGGAATGACTATGCAAAAAGTATAATGAAGAGTAGCTGTAATCGTATATCCCATAAAGAAAGTTATTTCAGTGATTGCAACGCAAGCCAAGGCAGTCTAAAGAAAAAAAAAAAAAAATGAGAAAAAAAGTAAAAAAGTGTTTAGAAATTTCATCAAACTTACTTGCACATTTGTGCCCCGGCGTTTAATTATTTTGTCAACCCTCTAATAAAACATGGAACCAAAAGTGATACTTAGCGAGGAAGTATCAATATGCTCGTAGCAGTTGCCTGTAGCTGGGAGCCCTGGTGACACAACAGTTAAGCGTGGGGCTGCTAACCGAAAGGCTGGTGGTTCGAATCCACCTGTGTCTCCATAGGAGAAAAGACTTGGCGATCTGTTCCCCTAAAGTCAGCTGTTGTTGTGTACCACTGAGTTAAAGCCAACTCATAGGGACCCTATAGAGTAGAACTTGACCATAGACTTCTGTAAAGATTAAAGCCTAGGAAACCCTATGGGGCAGTTCTCTGTCGTATAAGGACACTATGATCTGGAATCGACTCAATGCCACACAACAACAGCAGTATCCTTGCCATGCTAGTTGTTAAATGCTTTCAGTATCATCCTTCCGTAGAATGCATAAAAAAGAAAACAAACATACAATGCTGCCAGTTATTGATCTAAATTCTGCATTTATAAAACTTGTAACATTTTGAGTTGAATCATTAAAGAGTTAATGACTTTTGACTAAACTGCTATGAAAAGTTGACATAATATGTGACTTACCACAGAATAGATAAATGACCAGAATTCTTTGGTATTTAAAACTTTTTTAAACGTGAAAGAAGCAACATAGGTAAACAGAATAACTGATGGAACATAGGCAACAAGGCAAAAAATCTGTAAAACAAAAATGTATATGCTGCATCTAAAAATATGAATAGAATATATATAAAATACCACAGTCACATTAAAATACTAAGGAATATTTTTCTTCAAATTTATTGCTCAACAAATCATTCTCAAAACAGAAATTGTGGTTACTTGAGGACTTATTCCCATTTCTCTTAAATTAACAAAAATCATGCTTCTAACGTATTGTTAATACAATCCTGAATAAGTGATTTAAACTGAACACTATTTGTAGTTCTTCTTTTATACCAAGTAAAATGCTATCTCATATATTATTGTAGAAAGCAGGTTTATTATTACAGAAAACCATTTTATCTCTCTTAATCAACTATAAGCTACCATTTTAATATACAGCACTTAATATATTTTATAAAGTTTTAAGAAAAATACTTAGCAATTAATAAGGTAGAAATTAATATATAAGATCATTATGATCTCTAGCAAAATTGTTAACTTTACTTTCGGTAACCCAAATTCACCTAGCTCTGTTTTCCCCTTTTCCTAATAAAAATCATGCATATTATCAGTTATTTACATGTGCACATGAATGTAAATCTGATTCTTCCTTTGTATTTCCAGGCACATTTTTAATTATGGAATAAGAGATTTTCTTCTTTTGTTAAATTATTTTCAGACACAGAGCAGACAGGGAAAAGACAGTTTAAGGAAGGCCTATTTTAAGCATTCCTGAAGATACACAATTAAGCGATCTACATGAAAGACTACCTCAGTTTCAAGGAATTATTTTATAATGGTAGTAAGTTATTATTTTTAAAAATCACTTATAGTAATATAAATTGCATTGATCATAGGTATCATATACAATAATCACCTAGATGCTGGTTCTATTTTCCTTAAAAATTAATGCCCAAATTAGAGAATCAGCCAATTGTCATGTTTATAAGCACAGTTTTTAAGAAACACTATTTTATTTACTAATAGCATGAGTACACTGACATTAACTTACCACAGAAAGGAACTTTACAGCATAAAAATATAATCCATAATGAAATGCAAATAAGCTTCCTAGCATCAAAACAAGAACAATAAAAAATAAGGGGATATCAATGATAGCTTGTCCAATCCAATATGCCGATGGAAAAAGACCTGAAAGTTTAAGCTGAGTATAAGCTTTGATCTAAAAAAAAAAAAAGAAGGGAAAAAAATATAATGTTAAACATTTTACAAACAAACAAAAAAACTCTAAAAAATTATTTTAGAGTCAATTTTTGATCAACTAAACAAAAAAGGTCACATTCTGAGTTTACAGGTAATAACATTTCTCATCACAGTTAAATATAAATTCCATTTAGCCTTTAATTTGGCTCAATATTTCTGAGACATAACAATTGCAACAAAATTTTTAAGAATCAGAATAAAGCAGTGCTGTTAAGAAACATGAAACTAAAATGAAGCAAAAAGTGTCGTGAGGGTTATAGCTATGCAAACGGTGATCCGTTAGCAGTAACCAAAACACTACTGCTTTTGAAAATTTGTTGACATAGATGAAAAGATATGTTTTAAACAGGAAACAGATTCTAACTTTTTAAACTTAACTTGTCATGAAAACGCTAATAAACTGCCAAGTACATAGTGGTTTCAGGTTAAGGGTAAAACTGCACACATGATGCATTTGAAAGCATTTTATACTCTTGCGTAGCAGAATGTAAGTTGTTATTACTACCACAAGTAAAAAGCATTTTCAGGTATACTGACAGTAAACTTAAATGATCTTCTTCTTGTCGCTGCTGTTGTTAGGTGCCGTCTAGTGGGTTCCGACTCATAGCGACCCTATAGGACAGAGTAGAACTGCCCCATAGGATTTCAAAGGATCGGCTGGCAGATTCGAACTGCCAGCCTTTTTGCTAGCAGCTGAGCTCTTAACTACTATGCCACCAAGTCTCCTAAATGACCTTAGTTTTCCTAAATATCTTATGCTCTCACTATTTAATTTGAAATATTAAAATTTTTTTACAAATCCAAATACCTAAGAATCTTATTCAGTTGATTTTCAAAGACAGAGTAAACCTTTCATCTATAAAAAATCTATTCCAATAATATTTTAAGAAACAGCTGACCATACAGTGAGGTTAAGGGGAGCATGGAATATAGACTAGTTGAAAAGAGGAGGAAAAATAAGAAAAACTGGACAACTTTTGTGTTCAATGAATTACAAGAACATCAGATATATGAAAATTTCATAGTAAGTATGAAAACATAAACTAACTCCAATAAAATTATTTTGGATAATCTATGCTTTTGTCTCTTATTCATTGCTGGTGAGAAGGCAAAATGGTATAATCACTCTAGAAAGCAGTTCAGCAGTTTCTTACTGAACATGCAACCACCATACAATCCAGCATTTGTACTCTCGGGCATTTATCCCAGAAAAATGAAAATTTATGTTCACACAAAAACCTGTACATGAATGTTCATAGCAATTTAACTCATAATAGACAAAGACTGGAAATAACCCAGATGTCCTTCAAAGAATGAATGGTTAAACAAACTGTGATACATCCATACCATGGGACTACTCAGCAATAAAAAGGAATGGACTGATAAGGGTTTAATATCCAGAATATATAAAGAACTCCTACAAGTTAACAAGAAGACAAACAATCCAATCAAAAAATGAGTAAAGGACTGAAATAGACATTTCACCAAAGAAGATCTACGAATGGCCAACAAGCACATGAAAATATGCTCGACATCATTAGTCGTTAAAACAAAACAAAACCCGTTGCCGTTGAGTCGATTCCAACTGATGGCAACTCGGTAGGACAGAGTAGAACCGTCCCAGAGGGTTTCCAAGGCTGTAATTCCTTACGGAAGCAGACTGCTACATCTTTCTTCTGAAGAGCAGCTGATGGGCTTGAGCAGCCAACCTTTCAGTCAGCAGCCAAAAGCTTTAACAACTACGCCACCAGGACTCCTCATTAGTCATTAACCTGTTAAAAAAACCCATTGCCATCAAGTTGATTTCGACCCTTAGTGACCCTATAGTCATCAGTCATTAGGGAGATGCAAATCAAAACCACAAGGAAATACCACTTCACTCCCACTAGAATGGCTATGATAAAAAAAGGAAAATAACAGGTGTTGGGTAGGATGGGAGAAACTGGAACCCTCATCCATTGCTGGTGGGAATGCAAAATGGTACAGATACTATAAAAAAGTTTGGCATTTCTCAAAAAGTTAAACATAGATCATATGACCCAGCAATCCCAATCATAGATATATACCCGAAAAAACTGAAAGCAGTAATGCAAACAGAAACTTGTACACTAAGGGATGAATTTGAAAACATTCTGCTGAGTGATATAGGTCACAAAATGACAAATGTTGTAGGATCCTACTTATATGAAATATCTAGAATGGGCAAAGGTATAGAGATCAGTTTATCAGTGGTTGGGGGCGGGGAGGATAGGGGAAAGGGGGAGTCACTGCCAGCGGGCACTGAGTTTCTATTAATGGTAATGGAATAATTTGGAAAATGATAGTGGTGATGGTGCACAACATAATGAATGTAGTTAATGTAACTGAATTGTACATGTAAAAAATGTTGAACTGATAAATGGCTTGTTATAAATATTTTTACCACAACTAAACAAAAAAAAAAAAAAGAATGGACTATTGATATATACAACTTGGTTGAATCTCCAAATGATTTTATGCAGAGTCAAAAAAAGTCAATTCCAAAAGGAAACATACTATGATTCCATTTATACTTCTGGAAATATCAAAATTATAATAATGGAGAACATAGGAGCAGGAAGCGTGTGGCTAGAAAACAACAACAGAAGAGATCTTCGTGGTGATGGAACTGTTCTCTATCTTGACTATAACAATGTCAATAAGCTGGTGGTGATACTGTACTATAGTTTTGCAAGATATTATCATCGGGGGAAACTGGGTAAAAGCGTACACAGGATCTTTCTGTGTTATTTTGTATAACTGAATGTGAACTTACAATGATTTCAAAATAAAATTTAATTGAAAAGCTTTTAAGTTAAAAGAAAAAATGCAGTTGCTTAGGAAGTTTTATCTTTGAGTGCTGGGGTTACAGATAATTCTTTTATTCTTTATACTTTTCTATATTTCCTGGATTACTAAAATGAGTATGTATATTTACAACACAAAAAATAAAATCTTATTTTAAAAAATTATCTTGTGAGGCTTATATATTATTTTTGTACTAAACAAATTTATTAAAGATGTAAATTGTCTGCTATGAGGCTTAAGCCCATTATTCATTAAGCCCATTACTTATCGTACTGTATAAGTTAGTTTAAACAAATTTTATTCCACTGAACTTAGATCAGTCATGGAGAGAAAGAGAATTTTGATTAGAGAAGTACAAGAGATCCAATATCAGAAGAGTGAAACACTGGAAAGCACGGAACAGCTAGATGACTGTACAGTATTACCATCTGCCAAGAGGACACTGAAAAAGAATAGTGCCAAAAAGAAGGTGAAATGCCAAAAAAACGCTCTACATAGCCATTTTTCAGGGCTAGGTCCTGGTGATGGCAATCATTTTCCACCTTTTTCTTCTTTCATTGAACAAAAAATTGGTGACTTTTACATTCAATACACTCTATTAAAGGCTAAAAGGGAAAGACAGTTTAGTATATCAATTAAGAACATAAAGATTGGAGTCAATTCCCAGATCCACCGCATAAATAAGGTGAGTCAACCTGGGTTAAGTTATCTGAACCCTCTCACCCTCAATTTCCTTACCTGTAAAGTGGGTAACATAAAATTTACATCACAATGTTTTAAGGATTAAAGAATGTAGTTTTTAAAGCATACAGTAAATACTCAAGTAATAAATGTTAGTTATTACTATTATTACAAAAATAAATTATAATCAATTTTATATTTCATTAGCTTATTCCTGAAATAACAATTATATATTAGTCTCACACTCATGCAAAATAGTTATTTTTAGCATGGGATTTATTAGAAAACTGTACTTGTAATTCTTTGTAACTGAATCATTACCTTATGATTCTCTGCATTTTCCATGGCAAAATATGGTGGCATTGCAGTGACAATGATCCCAAGCAAAGCTGCTTGAAAATACAACTCAACTTTAAAAACTATGTCAGTAACTTCCTGAAAGACAATCACAGAATAAGAAATGGTACTGAGAATCATTTTATATCATCTTCGTACTTAGAAACTATCAAAACCTCTGAAGGAATCCATTAGGATATCTATCCTAGGCACAGTGCATTTGAAAGAATGGGAGGCAAAGCATTTAGCAGGCAGTGGGCTACATAATACCAATTCTGCCACTTACTAAATAGCTATATGATTCTGAGCAAATCCATTACAGGATTCAATCATACAGAAATCTGATGAAGGAAGGAAAAAAATGTGGACTATATCTATGGATAATTAGCTTTAACAAAGTCCCATTTCTCTCCCATTGGTTTTAAAAAATGGAGCCCTGGAGGCGCAGTGGTTAAGAGCTCAGCTTCTAACTAAAAGGTAGGCAATTCAAGTCCACCAGCCGCTCCTTGGAAATCCTATGGGGCAGTTCTACTTTGTCCTATAGTGTTGGTATGAGTCAGAATCGACTTGATGGCAAGGGTTTTTTGGGTATATATACCCATAACTATGACAAAGGATCTTGCAACTTACATTTTCCATTAAACATTGACACACATCATGCTATTTTTGAAAACCAAAACCCACTGCCGTTGAGTCGATTCTGACTCATAGCGACTGTATAGGACAGAGTAGATCTGCCCCCTCGGGTTTCCAGGAAGTGGCTGGTGGATTCAAACTGCTGATCTTTTGGTTAGCAGCTGAGCTCTTAACCACTGCATCACCAGGGTTCCATGGATACATATGTATATAGTAATGACATAAAAACATGTACGGGAAGTATAAATTTTCAATTGTGGCTACTCCTATGGAGCAGAAAAGGATATGAGATTGGGGTAGGGTAGACTGGGGGTTTCACTGGTATCTTTAAAGTTCTATTAAAAAAAAACACATATGATAGATTAATGTTTGAAACACTTGGGTGGTAGATACATGGCTGATCATTTTCTATAGATCTGAAATATCTCACAGTAAAAAATACACAAGGATGATCGACAACTTCAATGATTTCAATATTACTTGTGCACCGGTGACTCACAAGTTATTTCTTATCAAAAAATCTCTCCAGACGCATACATCCAAATGCCTATTAATGTCCATCAGACAAAACCACAGGATAACAGCTCAGCATGCTCTAAGCAGAAATCAGTATCCATTCCACCAAAACAAAAGAAAAAAAATCTCTCTTCTATCTGTATTCTCAAAATTGGTGAATGATTTATTAATAAACTTCAATATTCTAAATGAAGAAATACAAGGCCCCTTCCTTTTCCTCATCTCACAAATGCAAGTGATCTCAAGTTAGGACAATTTTTTTTAACATCTTTATCCTTCTATCATTATTGCTGATGTTGCTGCATTAGCTCAGATACGCTTATCATCTACTCTCATCTGAATTATTTATTAAAATAATCTGATCTGATCTCAAATTTCTTTCCTCCCCTCAGGCTAATTCCCCACACAGGAAACCCCTCTCCACCCTGGTGCCAGTGATCTTTCTAAAATCTGTTTTCTTCTAAGAGTTTTATGGTTTTAGTTCTTATATTTGGATCCTTGATCCATTTTAATTTTTCTATATGGTACGAAGCAGGAGTCTAGTTTCATACTTTTGCATGTGGAACTCCAGTTGTCTTAGCATCATTTATTAAAGAGACTACTCTTTCCCCCATACAATGGCCTTAGTACCTTTGTTGAAAATCAATTGACCACAGATGTATGGGTTTATTTCTGAACTCTCAATTCTATTCAACTGGTCTATATGTCTATCAAGGTCTCTGGGTGGCGTAAATGGTTAATCGCTTGACTACTAGCCGAACGGTGAGTGCCACCCAGAGGCATCTTGGAGGACAGGTCTAGCGATCTGCTTCCTAAAGGTCACAGCCTTGAAAATTCTATGGAGTACAGTTTTACTCTGCACCCATGTGGTCGCCACGAGTCAGAATCAACTTGACAGCAATTAACAGCAACATCGTATGTCAGTATGCCAGTACTGCACTGTTTTGATTACGTAGCTTTATAGCATGTTTTTAAGTCTGGAAGTGTGAGTCTTCTGACTTTGTTCTTTTTCAAGACTGCTTTGGCAATTCAGGCCCCTTGCAGTTCCAGATAAATCTGAGGATTGGGTTTTTCATTTTTGCAAAGAAGGCTGTTGGGATTTTGTGATGAATCTATAGACTGCTTTGAGTAGTACTGACATCTTAACAATATTAAATCTTCCAATCCATGAACACAGAATGTCCTTCCATTTATCTACGTCTTCTTTAATTTCTTTCAGTAATGTTTTATAGTTTTTAATGTACAAGTCTTTCACCTCCCTGGTTTATTCTTACATTTTATTCTTTTATATGCTATTATAAATGGAATTGTTTCTTTAGCTTCCTTCTCAGAAAGCTCACTGTTGATGTATAGTAACCCAACAGACTTTTGTGTGTTGACCTTGTACTCAGTCACTTTGCTGAATTCATTTATGAGCTCTACTAGCTTTTTTGTAGATTCTTTGGTGTTTTCTATAGATAAGATCATGTCATTTGCAAAAATTGAGTTTTACTTTTTCCTTCTGTCTTAGGCAGGGTTCTCTAGAGAAGCAAAACAAGTAAAGTGTATAAATACATATATAGAGAGAGATTATATCAAGGAAACAGCTCACGCGATT